TTTCGATTACCATTGCAATCAAATGCAGCTGTTAGTTGACACGACACAATAGTAGTGGGCGTTGATAGTATAAACCCGTAGCTTGCACCTAATGAAGATGTTGAAGAGGTGTTTTAATGCGAACACAGTTACCATTAGTCAAAAGTCATAATATGAAAAGATCATCTTAAACTACAAGAATTCATAATCATTTTCAGCGGTTTACTAATACGCGCAGACAGACTTAAAAATAATTATATACATCTTGTTTCCTGAAACGATTCGAACCAACGAGGGCAGATGTTATTTATGCTAATTTCCCGTAACATATTAATTTGAATTGTATCTTAACCTTTCGCGACAACAAATCACACTTGAATTTAATCGAAATCAAGCAACTATTGGTCCCCCTCTCCTTTTTTTTACAAACATAAGTATACTACCGTATGCTTTGCTTTAGGATGTGCATCTGCATTTTCCAATTGCCATAATCGCATATGCGAGAAAATTTATATCCATCGCTTAAACCCCAAGCGAGGTTGTTATGAATATCAACGTCATATAATGAGCATGCAAAAAACGAGGCTCAGGTGGGGGCTCTGGAAGAAAACTACAAAAAACTCAACGGCTTCCAAATTATAGGCTCTTAGAAACTATTGCCAAGGGATTTAAGACCTATCCAGAATGAATGCGCGCCATCTAATCTAATCGCAGAACAATTCTTGATCTTCGGTACGTTCTACTAGATATAATATATTACAAGATTCCGAAATTGAGAAAAAATCAATGTCGCCTAGGCCAATGGATGAGAGGTGCAATTATCAAGTCGTCATTTAGGACGGCTTTTAACGTAGCGAACAGTCGATTGATAAAGACATGACACTGTCGAGTGGGCGTAGAATTTCTGCTTCCATGTTTCTTTCTCCCTGATCCATCCTCACCATGCAAATAGAGGACACTTCCTCCTTCGGTATATCCTTCAATTTTCTCTGTTTCAATTAACATTTATCGTGATAGCTCGATAGGCACAATAATTGCAATCAAGTTTAATTCACTCACCTCAACATAGCTCGAATATTGATACGAACTAAAAACACAAGAGTCAATAAAAATTTCGACCTATTTTTCCTAGTTAATGAACTCTAGGAAAAGCTGATCTATGACTTAGTGTAAACATACGAAAGGATATTCAAAACTAGATCAAGTAGGGGTCATCGGCCTGCATTGCGACTCAAAAGTCAAAAGTAGGCACGAATACCTAAGCCAGGTGAGAAGTTTAGATAACTTAGCTTCAACGCCTGCTGGCCGAGATGACGGTGCCCTATAGAGATAACAATTAGTGCATTGTGCCTAGAATGAAAAAAAAAAGAGAAAATTTTACTCCGACTTTCCTCCATAGTAGGCAAATGTTTCCAACGTACATATTGTACAACTTTAGCAAAGGGGTAGAAATGATTCGCTTATAAAGACGCCTACAATAGGCAAAACATTGTAACCCATTACCTATAAGAGAAATTTAAGTAAAAGTTGCGACAATTTCTGCGGCTTAGTGTGAAAAAGTCACTATATCCATCTGACACGCCCATATATAACGAAATATTTAATAATACTTACAATTAGCCATAATTAATTTGGCATTATAATTGAAACGACGATAGTCGATATAATAAATCGATGGGAAATGTCGCCTCTGTTCTTATATCTTATTGAACAATTAAATATAAATATGATTAGATGTGAAATGTAAATGAAAAAAGGAATCTCATTCGTCTTACCTGTGTATGCCTAACTATATGCACAAATCCTTGTAATACCATATCTTGCGCATATCGAGAACTTGTTGTGGAATGAGGAGAAATGTGTTCGCGTACTGAGCAATGAATGTAATATGTAATACGTTGATATACGCTTATGCTAATCAACGAAAACAAACAGCAGGAAGTAACGACATATGTATTTGCACCAGCTAAATAAACGCTAATCCGTCTGTCCGGGTATACGCTTTCTGTTTATCATCAGCCCACTGTTGATTGCTGCAAATGGTATAAGCAAACGTTTATTTAAAGAAACTAGTATTGTTGTGTGTGCATCCATTCGGATGTATCAGTTGCATTTTGTTGTACGTTATATTATGGAAATAAAGATAAATTTCCATTAACACGTTACAAGATGACAAAAGTCGAGATATGTTAGTTGACTTTATACCGCCGGACACAATTAATCGCCTGTAAACATGTGGTGTGCTTAATAATTCAATGCATAGGGTAGAATTTTGGAAAGCTTTTAGCCATCGTGTTGCTTCTCTATTTGCTGCATGTTCATAAGTCAACCAAAGTTAGCCCTGGCATTTTGCTATTTACTTATTTATTTTTATACCCATCACCGAAGGGCAAGTTGTGGGTATATTCCCTTTGTAACAACGCTTGCAAAACCCAGAATGATGCTTCAGAAACCCCACAAACTGTATATAATATATTCGATTTAAGTATGCCCGTCCGTCCGTCCGTCCGTCCGTCCGTGAAATGTCAGTTGTAAACATTGTCCTGGCCGGAAAAATGAACCTGTCGACTTCAAATTTGGCGAAAGCATTCGAAGTTGTTGTACACACGTTAGTATGGAAAATCAATTAGATCGGGCGAACGCCTCAAATACCACGTAAACTGAGAACACCCCTGCTTATCAAAAGGAATGAAAAATTGGCTTTTTGTTCATGATTCTGCAAACAATTGGAAGAACGGAACCGCTTACTCAAATTTGTACATTTTTATTTTAAAAGCCCATAATGTCTATAAATTCTTGGCTCAACTGTATGGTATCTGTAGTAAATATTTCCCCGTTAGCGAAAATGAAGATTTCGTCTATGAATTTTCGAAAGGATTTGAAACTGATCTAAACTTTTGAAATGATATGCCTACAGCGCCCTCATGTCTATGTGACAAAGATTGAGAACACTTTTGTTTTCCGTCACTTCCACTTTTATTCTGAAAATGACAAAACTCAGGCGCGCCCTGAGTATGAATATTTAATCCTTTCCCCTTTTTTTAGTCGTTCTCAAGACAAGGGCGATGGGTATAAAATGTTCGGTAACGACCGAATATAATTTTCTTAGTTGTTTCTTTCTTCTTTTTTATTTATTTTTTTTTTATTTTTTTTTTTTAATTTTTTTTTTTTTTTTTTTTGCTTTATTATGTCTATTTATACGGATATAAGCATAGATGTATTTGCATATATACGTACGCACGCAAACACTCTGGTATTTACATATATAAAAAACTGAATGATTAAATTTTTATTTATTAAACAAATTGTATTATAAAGTTTTTTTTTTTCATATTTTATTCAATTCATCGCCACAGTAGTTTTCATCATTTTTCTTTATTCTCTCTGTAGAGTGTAAAGCGTAAAAACTGTCGAATATTTTGCCAAAATTTCACTATTCTAGTTGCTTAAGTTCGCTTACAAAACGAAAATGTATTGAATCTTAAACGAATATTTATGATAGCTACGCTGATATCGCATAATAAACACGTCAATGTGCATTTCATTTCATCTATTCATCTCTTCTTATTCTCTCTTTCGGTTCCGGTCGATCATGTTGTTGTAAAAATTTCACAAATAAGTTTCACCTGAAATTTAATGGCATAAATATGAGGGGTGTAAGAGAGTCGGATCAATTCGTGCGTACATAAGCTTTTCTTTGTTTTACTATGTTTTTTTGTTTACTTTGTTGCCTCTCGTTCTGTTTATGGATTTTCTATATGTACGTATTCCTCTGACAGCATTTTTACCGCCCACAGGAAACACTAAACTTTCAATTTCCTGTGAACATGTTGTTGCCGTTGTTATCGTTGTTGTTATTGCCATTGTTGCTATTATTATTATTATTCTTATTATTATTATTATTATTATTATTATTATTATTATTATTATTGAGTTTTTTGTCTGCTGCACAACATTCTGCTGTTTTTCATAACTTGGTTGCTTGGTTGCTTGCTTGGTTGCTTGGTTGCTTGGTTGCTTGCTTGCTTGCTTATTGCTGTTACAAGCCCCAAATCTAAGATGTCTTTAAAACATAATTAATAGGAAATAGAAACAAGTCGTCAATATTTCATTTTAAACTTGAATTAATAAACACTAAAATCTTATATGCGCATATCTGTATGTGAAAGCATCAGAGCTATTCTATCGATGAGTTCAATAATTAAATAATTGCAGAAATTCTGTTGCAAAGTTAAACTAGAGATTTTATAATAAACATTCAATGTTAAGCTTTCTTTCTTCCTCTGAATATTACAAAATTTTAAAGTGAAATAAATCGCATTAAAGTTCCCTTTGCGGAAAGCTTAGAACTAGTTTTCAAAAATCGCATCGAATTGTATACACGACAGTTGGATAATTGGGACCAATCTCACTTATAGCTTTGCATCTTATACTGGACGATTTTTTTGCTTTTTTTTTCAATCTGTCCACGCCACACAAGATGTAACACGATGACAATCGAAGAAGGAAAGAACTCAAGAATGAGAAAGTGGTAGAGATTTTATGAAGTAAGCACAATAAAGACTGACTACTATAGCTACGATCAAGTGAGTTCTATCGGAGAGACAGATTTGAACCGATGAACATTAATTTGGTGGTAGGCATTGTTCTTATCTACTCGATTTCTCGTACGAAGTGCATGTAAGTTACAGTGTTTTGCGTACTCTGCGTATTGTTATAGGCGGGTCAGGCTCATTTTGAAACTTGATCTATAGCTAAGTAGCGCTACCGCAAAGTTTCTTAATTTCCTTGAGAATCGGTAGAATCTGGACATGGTGTGTTCAGAGGTAGCGCGGAGATTACGTGGATTTGCGAACAAAGAATAACAGAAACCAACGCGTAATTACGGCGTGACCTAAGCGTATTTTACAATCAAGCAAATCTCAATCAAATCAAATTTACGTCATTATCGTTTAGTTTTCTTTCTGTTATGTGACAATATTTATCATATTGTTTTTCCTTTTAATTTATCTCTTTTGCAGTTTATTGACATCGGCGTCGTTACATCGATTGAAATGAATCATAAACAAATTGAGAGTGCACGCAAGGGCCAAGCAATTTGTATTAAAATTGAACCAATTTCGGGCGAATCGCCAAAAATGTATGGCCGTCATTTTGATGCCACCGACGAGCTTGTAAGCAAGGTAAGGAAATATTGCTCGTTTTCATTTCGTTTTCATTTTCTGTAACGGTTGCAGGCGGTGTAAGGTGATGTTGTTTTTTTTTTTTTTTTATACTAAATCTCATTCATTGCGTCTATGCAAAAATGTAGTGCTTTCAAATGTAAAATATTTAACGGAAACTAAAAAAAAAAAAAAAATATAATTTCCTTAAGTGACTTTTAGTCCTGCTCACGAAGTTCACCAACGTTATTTCACGTATTTCAAAGAAATGCTGCGATATTTAAGCAAAGAAATCAACCAAGTAGTTTTTGATTGAAGGTTTAATCTATTGTCATACCGATTTAAGTTGGTCTGTCCGTCTTATGGCCCGTCATGTGTTTTTGTGTTCAACCCCCAAGTTGCAATTTTTGAGATATTCCGATGAAACGCGGTTTGGTCCAGGGACCAAGGAACCGAACCCTCTTTGAATGAAATTGGATCGGATCATTTTTACGACAGCGTATTCCATATTATGGGCTATTGTTGAACAAATTTTTTTTTATCTTTAAAATTCCTCGACAAAAATCAGTCAAAAATATCAATTCGATGTACTAAATGAATGAGGAAGATTTCAATGTGACAGAGTCGTTCTTTAAAGTTCCTACAATTAGTAAGCCTCTATGTAGATATAGTATCAAATTTTGTATTATATTATGATAAAAGTTGGGTGGAAATAATTGTCTGACATAGAAGTCTATTGCTAGAAACTCTAGTCATCGTAAGGATTCACGTGAAGAGTAAGTTTTTTTTTGATATTTCATGACGAAGGCAAGTAAATAATAATATAAAACTGTTGACGAAGAAGTTCACTGAGTTCTCGACCAGGTTGATTTCCGACGGCTTCATATATATAATTGGATTTTCTTATCATCGGTTGATGGCAAAGCTAGTTAATTCAGTTAATGTCGTTCAAACTTGGACGATACATTAAGCTTCCTTCTTCTTTTTGTTTAGTCTGCAGTCACGGATTTTTAAAAAATTTTATGTGAGAAGTATCGTAAAAGAGGAAAGAGAAAAATGAACAGCTAAATATATGAATTGATAATAAATTGACGCTACATGCGAGAGAAAGAGAAATTCGTTAATGCGCTTAATTTTCAGCCTATCCTTCAAGTTGTTTGTGAGAATGAAAAGATTTCGTTTAACACATAAAATTATTTACCCAAACAAATCGACAAATCGAAAGACTTTGAAAAAGATTCACTGTCGGTATTTTCTGAGGGCCTAGGAAATAAGCAAAACTACGGCGAAATTAAGGAAATCATGTTTCTTTTCCTGATAGTGTCAGTAAGTGCATCCATATCATATTGCCGTTGTATGTTTGTGTGATATACTGAATTTGTTTGACCGCCTCGGGCACATACAGTTAAACCTTCAGCAAGAGACAACAAGCCAGTGGATGTATGAGTGTAAATGTTGTTAGAGTTTTTGTATATCCGAGTCATAAAATTGCTTTTCGGCGATTTTGAACCGAAATAATGTTTGACCTCCACCCGCTTTTATATTCTAGGATATAGTATGAGTCTTGGTCTCTCTCACTTGTAAATAAATGTCGCTCTTATGTTCTGCTCTCTAGCGAATTTTATTGACGTCACTATTTACCTTCATTCATAAAAACATACATAAACTGATTCATGTGCTACCAGCTAACGTTCAACGTTGACACATTAACCTAGTTTGCGAATCTATTTTTAGTTTATATATATATATATATATATATATATATATATATATATATATATATGTATACATAAGCAGCATAATCTGGTATTATTGTAAAAACAAACAAGAAAAAAAAAGAAGAAAGAAAACACACACACACAAACGCGCACACACACACACACACACACCACACACACAGTTAAGCATTGATTGTCCTTTAGTAACCCAAAACACAAATAGCATCGAATGTGATTGCGTCATTAAATTCGATTCCATTTCTATTATCTTGGTTTACTCTGATGTAGATATATACATGCATGAGCATAGATGTGTTACATAAAGAAAACCTTCATATATATATATATATAAAAACGTATGTTTAAACATTTCACAAAAGAGAGAAAAAAAAACCAAATATTCGGATAAGAATAAGCAATTAAATAAACAATGGCATCACTAAGCCAAAGACACGTGCGCACACACACGAATGCCTCAATACTTCTTCGAAAGTGGTCAGGTAAAAATTGTATAGCGCCCGATATAATTGCAATAGAAGTTCGACTATAAGTCGCATATAACTCTTTAAGGAACGTATACACCACTGCTCTTGATTGCTCCGCTAATTGTAAGAGAGAGAGGAGAGTGGATAACATCTAAAGGTGTGATATGCTTTTAAATAAAAAAAAATAAAATAAAAAAAAAATTAAAATAAAAATAAAAAAGAAAAGTAAACAAATGTGTTTGTAAAATTGAACTAATTCTCTGCTTGCAAATTTTTCAACAATATATCTAAATATTTATTCGAATTATTATTTATTTATTCATTTTCGATTGTTTATTTATTTATATTAACGCAAAAAATCGTCTTTGTATTGCAACATAATTCGCTATGTCTTGATTTCATATAATGCATAGTTATACGTACTTATGGCATATGCGTATGTATGTGCGTATATTTGTGTATGCATGTTTAATTCTTGTCGTTAACGTTTGACAATTGATTATAGCAAACTACAACCTATACATAACTAATTAAAAATTCAGTAAATAGCTCGTGTAATGTGTGTGGCTTGCTTGCTGTCGACAAACCTCCCTATGTCTGCCAATCACTCAATCGTCAATTCAGTTGGGTAGTAGAGGGCACATTCATTTCGTCAGACCGTTTGTGAGACGAAACAAAGTTAAAAAAAAAAAAGAAAAAAAAAAAAGTGAAAAAAAAAAATTAGAAATATATTAAAAAAATAGCAATATTTTTTTTTTTTAATTTTTTTATTTTTTTTTTTTTTAATAAACGAATTCACTCCATCTATCAAGCAAAGCGAGCGAAAATCAATTAAGACTGCATGTGCATGTGTGCGAAAGTTCAACTAATCAACGTATAAATGAACGTGACCGAACCTCAAATTTATCAAGAGCCTCGAAACGATATCGCCGTATTCGTAGACGAGTGCGTAAACAATTTGCCATAAAGCATGCTTTTAGGTATCCACCAGAATCCGTAACACTCATAATCCCTAGAAGAACCACGTAACAGCAATCAACTTATAAGACAATCTATACACATATATCCATATATATATATATAGTTTTGATAAACGTACACTCTTAAACCCATTTCACTTATTAACTCGTTCGAATGAAAGTGGAGAAAGTTGCTGATGGATGGAAAGAAGCACTATTCGCCCACAAAGGATATGCACGTGCGTTAATCGAAAACCCAGTACAGATATCGATCGGAAAGTTGATTTGCCAACAAAATATTCAATGCGAAAACTATCTATATATGATGCGCTCGCGAAAAATAGGCAGCAAACTTAAAGCAGATCTTGATTCAAAGCTTAACCGTAGTACGTATCAAGTCCCAGAGATTATCTGGCCCTATAGTTAGATTAACTGCAATCGTGAGTTTCGCAGATTCACTTCACGATAGATAAAATTTGGGTATTTGTTCGTTAATTGGCCGACGAGGCTTATCATATACGCAAAAATGAGATACAAACTCCAATTCGTCGTATATGACGAAAAGCTTAGTCTCGTTATTATGTAACATATTCCGAGTGCAACTCGGAAATAAACTAAAAGGGAAGAATAGATTTCGTTTATTTCGAGTCGCTGAAAATTTGAGCATCTAATTGGTATATAGCCGTTCTCGATGTTAATCTTTGCGCCGCCAATTATTTCTTTAATCAATTACGTACGTTATGGCTGCTTAAAGCCATGACATTTTTTAATAAATGACTTTTTCTATATTTATTGTTATCGCTATTCATTTACGATCATATTTATGAATTTTAAATGATGCAACATCGAACGGGAAAAAGACGAACACAACACACAAACATCTTATATATACATATTATTCATATATGCATTCATTAATAATAAGTAAACATTTATGCATATATTTGTAAGGAACTCTCATTTATTTTTACTGTTATAATCTCTCTTTCTCTCTCTCTCTCTCTCTCTCTCTCACTCTCTCTTTATCTATCTCGTTGCCTTTGCAGATATCCCGCCAAAGTATTGACGCTTGTAAAGACTATTTCCGTGATGACTTGATTAGAGCTGACTGGGCTTTAATGGTTGAGCTAAAAAAACTTTTCCAAATCCTATAAATTGCTTTGTAACAGAACGACAGAGAACGAAACACACAAGATAAAAAAGAAGAAAAATGATATTTGTTTGGAAAAATAATAAATAAATATAATAAACTTAAATAAATGTGAAATATTTGAGCAAAAAAAAAAAATAAAAAAAAATAAATACATAAAAAAAATTTAATGTCATTCTAAGTTATTAATCACGGCTGCTTAGGTGCAGTGTCAGCGCCCGATTCAATTCCATTATGAGCTACACTACACGTAAGTAGAAGAGAAATCGTGAAAAAAGAACAACAATTTGCCCATATTCCCAATAAGTATGCCAAGCAGGCCAATACAGTTGACGGAACTAGCGTTCGCATATTACTACATCCATGCATCCCTATTGCGGCAATAGGGAGCAAAAGGGCGGAATCGATATAAAGTTCAAATTGCATGATCGCAAAACTAATTATGCGCGCAAGAGAATATAGGATATTGGAATGTAGGCGTGGACATCTGTTTTAAAAATGCTTGAAAATGTGTAAGGCGTTGTTTTTTCACCTTTCGCCGAAAATTGTGACAAATTATTTGAGTCTCACGCCCTCAATTCAACACATTTCATTTTATTTTTTTCAATGCTCCGTGCTCGCAGAGACTCTTATTACGTCAGCAATGAAAGTTCGGCTTGAGGATTTCGAAGAAAGCAAGTATTTCGGAAGAATTTCAAGTAAAAGCAAAAAAAATAAAAAAAACAGAAGGATTTTCGTTAGGCAATGAGCTAAATCGGGTTATGACGCATAAGCTATATGTAATTCAGAGTTTCACTTAAGTGCATTTATGCGTTGTGGCTTATTTCTTTTTAAAGGGCAATAACTGACGCAGAATATTTTACGACGTCATACGAAATGTTTGTGACCCTGATATGATTTTACGATTACTTTTAACAACTGTGACGTCGGCGCAATAGGATGCCGAGGAAATATGGTCATTCACATTTAGGATAGTAGAACATGTATTTACAAACATACACACATATATATATATATATATATATATATATAATAAATGTGTATATAATATTATATATACATATATATATATATATATATATATATATATATATACATACATATATATACAAGTATATATATATATAAATATATATGTGCGTTATTTTAAGTGAAATATAGATATGTAAACGTTGCTGAAAATACATATTCAATGACTGCATAGTTCCTAACCAGCTTAGGGTGTTGGAGCAAATTATTGATTATGAAAGAAACGGACGACGTATGAATGCATGATTACCGAGAGCATTCCACCCAAAAAATGTAATACATAGAAATTTCATTTACAAGGTTGTCGCATACGACATGCGCATCTTTTCATTCATAAAAACTATGTTAAAATGTGAATGAACTCGTATCCCCAGTTAGATTAAAGCTGACAACATTCCAAAGCTCATCGTCAATGTTTCGTGCAAAAAAACATATATAGTTGTGTGTGCTGCTGAATATGTAGTTATAACAATGAATGAAAATGAAAAACTCACATATACGTATATATGTATATATATATATATATATATATGTATATATATATATATGCTGGGATAAAAAGGAGAGGAAAAAATTCGAAAAAGTGAAAAACTGAATGTATCCACCGCTACTGAAAAAAAGTAACCTAATCTAACACACATATATATATATATATATATATATATATAGATAACTTTGTTTGACAGCTTAAAGGCAATGAACTTTTCGTGTCTATCAAAGGACTAAATTTGCGTAAACTATCTTAACAGAGAGTTTTTGTCCCTGTGAAAGAGAGTTTCAGATAATGTTGTTATGAATGACGCAAACCCATTGGTCCGTCAATGCTATTACTGGAGAAGGAAAAACGAAAATTTTCAGCGAACATCTCATCTATATTCGCTCAAGGATTGCGACATACGAATTGATATTCGAAACATTACATCGATTTTTATATTCATTGCCGAAAAATCAACACGAAATAGGAATTAAATATTTTGCTCGTAGCATTCAGAGAACTACGCAATATTTTATAAATAAACAATGTATGCAAAACACATATATATATATATATATACATATATGTATACATATATTAGTCAACATGATGATATACTGTTTATTGGTAATCATTTTTACATACGCCGTCGCATTATAGGCGTATGTAACACAACTAAATTATATAGCTGTGAACGTTTTTTTTTTTTTTTTGCTTCCAGGACACTTAAGTCCATTAAAATAAAATGTTCAAATGTTTTCGAAATTTTCTCCAATACGAAGAAGCACTTATCTTCCTTTTTTAGTTCCACGCTGCTCTTACGACATGTATGGTGATGTCTCAAGAAAGTAACTTTTGCACTTGGATTATGTACATTTCCTGGATTACCATCCAACTTGTTGCGACGTGTTGCGGATTTTAATGTACAAGGGGCAGTTATAGGGCCAACATAGTCAAACAGGCAAACAGCAATTCACACTACTATTTCTCTGGCCCCCGCAATAACGCGCGGACCTGTTAGTTAAATGCGGAACTTTCATGGTAGGTGCAAGCAGACGATCCCTCAAATTTTCGATGACCTGTCCGAGACCAAATGTAAATATATAACGTCAGTTTAGCTGATCAATTTATGCCACAAAACAGGAAGGTACAAATTGCTGACGCATGCGGGCCATGTTCGAGAAAAAGCAGATATGATAGATCTCATGTTAAACGAGTATAAAAAGAATAGCGGCATATAGTTACATATATGAGTAAAATTAGTCAATCTTTGTTAACTCAATTGAGTTTATATTTATTAAAAAAGTAGAAAATTGGCTTAATATATAAAATGTATGGGACTATCTTTTAGTAACTACTGCATCTAGGTAGTTGGGGGTAGGTGTGGACGTCATACGCTTAAGAAAACGCTTTAACAAACGCGGTCGCTTACGTCTTGCGGTATTGCGATAGTTTTCTTTTGAAAGTCATTCCCCCCCCCCCCCGTCACTAATGATTTGCAATGAAAAGGTGTTATCAATTTCTTGCTCTAAGTGGCTTATCCAAAGTCGATTGGAGACTTAATATGCTCCGCTTATGCTTAAAATTGAGCAGACAAAAAATAGATTCTTGTATGTATTGTGATAAGAACGTTTTCGTAGATTTTGATATAGAAGAGTAGAGGAAGACTAGATTTGAACCGATTTCAATTGGTTGTCTTGTGACGGACGTAGTTTGGACACGCCTGCTGCAGATTGCTGAGTTATGTATATAATTCTTTGATTTGCTTTGAAGTCGCTTTCTTCTTTTTTTTTTTTTTTTTTTTAGTCTCCAAAAAATAAAAACATCACCCCAGGCATGTAAACTTAATCGGGACAAAGATGAAATTTGAGGATAAGTCATACTTTCGAGTTGCTTTACAGCGTAAATGCAGAAATGTTTACAAATGTAAATCGAAACATTTCTGCTCGCTTCAGATGCGCACACGACGGTTACCAAGCAAACATGTGCCGGATTGTGTATCAATCAACTTAATTACTTAAACTGGTAATTTTGGAGACCTCGACGACGAGGAGAACAACTATATGAAAACCCATTTCTCTCTCCGTCTCTCTTGAGCGATTTTTTTCTTTTTTCTCATTGTTTTCGTCCTTGCGAAACGCGTAAATCTGAGCATAATTTTTCACACAAAATTACAATAAAACGCAAAAAAAAAAAAAAGAAAGACGCAAATATCGTATCTCGCACGTGTAATAATGATCGATTATATTTCTATATTTAAGAAAATGTGAAAAGGAAAACGCCTGTGAAAATTAAATGAAAACGAAAGGATGTCTATTACGGATGTCTTTCGTTCTGGCTTCAATTTACGATATACGTTTCTCTGTTCAAACCTCATATTCATATATAGAGTATGTAGTGAAGCTTTCTTCTTTTTCTTCTTTTTTCGCCATTGCGTACGAATCATTAGCAAAAGATACAAAAGAGACAAGAGAAAAAAAAAAAAAAAAAAAACAAAAAGAAAAAACTATTACGCTCATTAAAATGCTTAGGATAGAGACGAAGAAATTGCTTTTGGAAAAAATGAAACCTTCAGATTGCATTTTCATATGGCAGAAAGTTTCATTCATGAAAAAGTGATTTTTCGAAAAAACAATTTCAGTCATAGTCATATATATATATATATATATCCTTTTTACTTTTATATAAGAATACATTATATTATATCTATGTATATGTATATAGATAAGAAAACTAAAAATGGTATATATTGATGTGTGTAAAGGATTGATTTTAACAGAAAGATAAGAGCAAACAAAAGAGAGAATGATGCAAAGAGATACAATCAAGTGACGCTACGGTATACGTGTCAGAGCATTCAGTCCATTCAGACCATTTTGAATATAAATTATGCCGTTCTATGAAACGAGGTCAATTTTTCTCTCCGATGAGATTATTTTTGCTAATTGTGTCCTTAAGATAACAACGAATATGGAGAGAGAAAAGAAAGGAATGCGTAGTGCATCGTGTATGAAGGATAAAATATACCAAAAAAATATTGAATGAGAAAAAGCAAATACATACACACATATCTATTTATGAAAGCGTATATCATATACACAAGGATTATTTATAATTTCATTGAAATAAAAATACATATAGTCTTATACTAAGCAATTGAATGTATGCCCGTATATGTGCTTGTATATATTATTCGTGTATATTTATTTGTAGCTAAATTTTGATTATGAATGAATTGTATACAATAGGTATATAAATATATATAAACACACACATAAGATATATATATATATATATATATATATATATATATATATATGCAAGCAAAGAGCTAAATCACCTCAAATGTTTTACGCCAAATCAAAATAAGCACACACGTACAAATGTACATATATATATATATATATATATATGCGAATATTTTGTTTTTTGTGGTAGCTTCAGCAAACATGCCTTTAAAAAGACAACATAATACAAGGCATGTATATGTCCTCATGCCCGTACGTATATAATGTAGGGGAACGACGTTCGCTGTTTCCATTTAAAATATCATAATTTAATTAAATGAAAATATTGTTGGTTTT